CTCTTATTTTGCCATTGTTTCCTTCTCTCAGTTTCTTATTTTCTCTCTTTTTCTTTTCGTTTCCTCTGTTTTCTTTTCCTCTTTTTTTTTATCACTCTTTTCTTTCTTTTGGTTATGGTCGAATCCTATGGAGATTGCCTACGTATCGTGACCCCGCATGAATCAGACCAAGCGTAGTTCTTGAAAATAAATATAGAATAGAAGCAAAATGTTTTGGGGATTTTCAATTTTATTGATAGCAAATACTTCTATTACAAAGACTCAAAACTGATAGATTAAAACAACTAACAGACTCTAATGAAGAAAAGAACTACAGACTCCACCATCCCTATTCTATTTCAAACGAAAATACAGACTCAATCAACTGACTGACTTTTAACGAAAAGAAAATACAGACTCAGACAACTGACAGACTCTAGTAGAAAAGGAAATACAGACTCAACAATTGACATACTCTAGTAGAAATGGAGATACAGACTCAACAATTGACAGACTCTAGTAGAAATAGAGATACAGACTCAACAATTGACAGACTCTAGTAGCAATGGAAATACAGACTCAAATGACAATCATGAATACATTGAAGCTCCTGGTGCCCGCGGGACATCGTTCGGTCTCGTCGCGGGCCTATATGCAAGTTCCCTTTGAAGTCTGTCTAGGTCACTCATTATCTGCTTCACAAATATCATCACCGATGCAAAAAATGTGGCAAGCAAAGGAAAATGACACTATGTTTTTGTTCAAATTTCCAATTTAAAACAAACAGCCAGTTTTGCAGATACGGCCTTTCAGCACTTCGGGGAGAAGATTTTAAGGCTGTGCCCGCTAACCGTTGAAAATGACCCAAGGTGGCTGTTCTCGCAAAAACAGCCTTCCGGCGCCCTTTTAGGGACACTCGGCTTGTTTTAGACAAGAATGGCCTCACCTGACTTATTCATGACAAAATTAAAATTTTGTTGTTTTGGGCTATTTTGCAAAAAAGGGAAGTTGGACCCGATGGGGGTTGCCTACGTATCCCACACCCTATGGGAATCAAACTGGCGTAGTTCGGGCAAATAAATCTAACTATTTTTGTAAACAAGACTCTTCTCCGTTGGCAAATACACTATTTCTAAAAACAAGACTCTTTTTTATATTTACTTTTTCAGTGACACCTAAAACAGACTATTTTGAAAATAAACTCTTTTTGTTTTTCTTTTCCATTGGCAAATAAATCTATTTTTGAAAACAAGACCTTTTTCTCTTTTTTTTTCTTTCTTTTTCTATTTTTCTCAAAAACTCGGCAGAGTTTCGACGCTATTTGGACATTGGTTTTTCCCGAACAGGTAATTATCTCTCTTTAACCCTCATATTGCTATTTCTTTTAAAAGACGGTCAGCATGCAAATCCAAAACAGATAAATGCACAAGTAGGATACATCAGGATGGTCCATTATTCCGGGTACACCTGTCCTAGACGGACCCAACCCCTGTGTTGAGTCCCATAAGTCAAAATGCACGTGATGCAGATAAGCGTTCCTACAAGGGATCCGGCATGAAGTCAAGTTATTCTAGGTTCAAAACCTGAGTACATGTTCTAGACTATGTACCCGAGCGGACAACTCGAGTCGAGGAGGGGGCTACGTACCGGGAATCAAAAGGCCATCCGGCTCAGTAACTTGTCCGGCCTCTTTCTTATTTTAAGGTATGACACTAACAGAATAGGGAGTCTCCACCAGTGAGCACATCCCCGAAGGTGAGAAGAGAAGGGTTTCGCCACAGTTTATATACAATTCAGATAATATCAGAGCGGTAAAAAGCAACATTTTGCACATTTAGCATGAAGCATGTAGGAAAATCAGATAAAGCCAAATACAACAATATATATAAGCTCGAATTCTGAACCCTGAACCAAAGGTCTGGGTTCTTCTCCCCAGCAGAGTCGCCAGGGCTGTCACACCTCTTTTTTACCTACTCCCCGTAAGGGTGTAAAGGAGTTTTCCAATTAAAGGACAATCGAAACGGGATTTATTTATTAAAGATTCAGAGTCGCCACTTGGGAGATTGATGGTGTCCCAAGTCACCGGTTGAATCCCGAATCGAGGAAAATATGACTCTGTTAACAGTCCGCAAACCAGAAATCCGAGTAAGGAATTCTGTTAACCCGAGAGAAGGTGTTAGGCATTCCCGGGTTCCGTGGTTCTAGCATAGTCGCTCAACTATCGTATTTGGCTAAATATCTGATTTTAGTACATGCTTTTATCTTTGAACCGCTTTTATTATTATTTTTTAAAGAGAATTGCAACGTCGTGAAAATATGTCTCGAACCACGTCACATAAATGCACCCGTGGTTTTTGACACATTTCGACTTCGTTGGGATTTGGATTTGAGTCACATAAATGTGCACCCGAGTTTAAGAAAGTAATATTATTAAATGCCGGGCCTAAAGCAACTAACGTATTATTAACTTTATGGGAGGCCATGAAATTCGCTAAATGGCACGCCCGAACTCTAAATATTTTAATATAAGCATTTAATGAGAGCCCTGCAATTTACGCATTTTGTTTGGCGAGGCTCATCTCATCTTTTATTTAAAGGCCATCCTAGAGCGACCTATAATTGGCTATTTAGTTTGTCTCTAAAAGGGGACTAGTTAATTAATGTTATAAGATTTGGGCCTCAAGTTCAAGTCCGGATTCAAACAAAAGCGGAAACCTCTTAATTTGAACCCGCTACCTAACTCGAAAGCCCAAAATACCAATCGACCTTATTCATAACGGCCCTTAGATACTAAAAGGAAATTGAACTGAATGGGCAAGCCGGCTACAAACAGACCAACGTTGAGGTTAAGAAAGAAACAAGGAAATTGGGCCTGTCATGAAGCCCAGCAGCTCAGGCCCTTATTGAATTGGCGGAAGATGGGCCAGGCACCAATTTTGGTCATGTTGAAATATTTCTTCATGGCCCAAACGTCCAGGCCTTAAAAATGTCAACTAAAGTCAGAATTTAATTTTAATGTTCAGAAACATGGAATCGAACATCAGGATTCAAATTCATGTATCAACTAGAGTCTAAACATTTTGTTAAGCTACAAATCAATACAAACAATTATAGGAAATGATGATTACACCAGGGTGATTATCAAGTAGATGGAGTCAGAAATTGAAAGCTATTGAATAAACATGTTGTTGGACATCGAAATTGAAATTGAAATATAACATGTTGAAGTGCGAGTATACATACTGCCTCAGAATCAGTTTCTATACTTATGCTATTGCTGGACATCAAAATCTACACTAACCACCAAATAAAATATACTAGGCTAATGAATAAATGACAGTCCTATACAGATTCCTACCTCTTAACAGTCCAAATTAATTTTCAGAAAAAAAACAGTCCAGTCAAGTACAAACAGGGTAAAGTTCATGTCAGTTAATTTTCAACTAATATTATTACATAATTCTAAAATCGAAACTCAATACAAGAAGAAAATGAATAGCATATCAACTCTCTCCATAATTCAATTGTATTGATAGTTCAACTCTTCATACATTTGAGATTGGAGAATACCTGGAAAGTGAAATATAATAAGTGGAAGAAGAGATCAGTAGTAGGTTGAGCGAATAGCAATGTCAACAACATGTCACAGCAGCAGAAAGACAATTTGAGTCCAATACACAATGTCAAATAGCCCAGGAAAATGTAACAGAGGTACAGCACCAAAAATGACCCCAAAATAACTCGATTGAAACCAAAATCCACTCGAAATCAAACCCAGTAGATCTCTGAAGCTTCAGCAACCAGAAAACAACCCAAAAAGCTTTGAATAAACCCCAAAACGACTTGAAATTGAATCTAGGACCACTAGGAAACGGATTAACAAGCTAAACTTGCAATCAATCTAAAAATCTCAATGTAACAGTATATTTTTGCATTTTTCTGTTGTTTTTGTTTGTTTTTTTTTTGGTTATTTGAAGAACTAGATCTAAAGGAGTTTAGAATTTGAATTTCAAATTTTAGCTGATGAAAACTTGTGGAAAGTGGGGGGGGGGGGGGAATTTTCAGATTCTCCAACTTGTTCCCTAAGGCACTAGTCATGCCTTTTTATAGGCAAAATGAGGGCAGCCCTCCTATTTTCCTATTTTCTTTTTAGTCCTTCTTTTATTTTCAGATTTTAACTAACTAGTCCCTAACTTCTGACTTGTTTCTCAAGTTAATACACCTAATTCCTGAATTTACCTTAGAACCCCCATCTAGAAACTTCTAGGAAGTTCTATTTCAGTTAATGCTAGATTCCCTACCCTTGAATTACCTCATTTACCCTTGAATTGTTCGGAAACTACCAATCTAACACCAAACTGTACCTCAGCCTTATTTCCCCCTAATCGAACCTATCAACTATACCCAAACAATCCCTTTAACTATGGTTAACTAAACAAGCTCTAAATCAAATGTTCATTAGTGAACAATATCCTAAAATCAAACTAAGTGGACAAATTAAACCAATTATGAAGTTAATCCTATTAATGAACTACATTTAACAGCTAAATCTAATTGCAGTAATTAATTGGCTAACACAGAATCAAACCTATTAAAACTAGTAGAAATTAAACGAAACAGCAGAAACGCCTTTAAACTAATCATGACATGCTTAACCCTAAATTGAAAGCAACCAAACACAATTGAATTAACGAACCAAACCCCACTATTGATCAAAAGAGGATAAAGAACAAACAAATAAAATCAGACTAACCTAATCGAATACTATTTTAAACGAACTGACAAAAGAAAAATAAAATAAATCCTAAATTGATTAATCGGATAGAAATATCAGTCAACACGAAGAAACTAATGAAGAATAACAAAGAACACCTTACCTATGGAGACCTAAGATTCTGCCGCTCCCAGATTCGAAATTCGACCCATTCCAGCAAGATTCGAACATCGCCATCGGTGGATTCTTCATGAGGAGAGTGAGGAGCTCACGTGATGTCGATTTGACTAGATTTGGAGTATTTTAGGGTTTTAGGCCAGACTTTGATTTGAAATTCGAGGAACTCAGCGGGGATTCGAGGGAAATGGCTTGGACATTCGAGATGAGGAAGTTAAGGCGAGGCTGTGGTGTAATTCTGACCGGATTTGGGAGAAGTAGGGTTTTGGCCGGATTTTCAAATGAAGATTCGAAGAGATGGGCAATGATTCGAGGGGAACTGAAGGTATATTTAGAAAGAGGGGAACGAGGGGAAGCTACAATGTTATTTTGGGTGGGAACGGAGTGGTTTCCGTCGTCGCCGCCGGCGGGCTCGACGGAGTGTAACAGGGCGGCGTCTCTAGGGTTTGGATAGGGGTGTGAATGAAAGAGACGGACCGAGCTGACAGGCCTTCTTTAGTTTCTTCAACTTCTGATTAAAACACTGTAAAAGGTCTCCAGAA